CATAAACACGCTTTTTTCATCCATTTGGGCAGATTTTGGAGGGTTTTTCGATTCTTTTTATGCCACTAAATGATCCTATAAGGCTTTCTGCTCCGGTATCAGGTCACCTGGAGTTGACTTTCAGCTTTAAAGCTTTGATAATTAACATTAATACAGATTAAATGATTGAATCTGTGTTCATTTCTTTGTTTTTCAGCATAAACACGCTTTTTTCATCCATTTGGGCAGATTTAGGAGGGTTTTCTTCTTCTTTTTATGCCACTAAATTATCCTATAAGGCTTTCTGCTCCGGTATCAGGGCACCTGGAGTTGACTTTCAGCTTTAAAGCTTTAATAATTAACATTAATACAGATTTATAGGTGTTTTTAAGATTGAATCTGTGTTCATTTCTTTGTTTTTCAGCAGAAACACACTTTTTTCCGCCTTTAGGGCAGATTTTGGAGGGTTTTCCGATTCTTTTGTGCCACTAAATGATCCTTCCAGATCACCTGGAGTTGACTTTCAGCTTTTAAGCTTTAATATTTACCACTATTACAGATTTATGTGTGTGTTTATGATTGAATTTGTGTTCACTTCTTTGTTTTTCAGCAGAAACACGCTTTTTTCATCCATTTGGGCAGATTTTGGAGGGTTTTCCGATTCTTTTTATGGCACTAAATGATCCTTCCAGGTCACCTGGAGTTGATTTTCAGATTTTAACCTTTAATAATTAACACTAATACAGATTTATGTGTGTTTATGATTGATTCTGTGTTCAATTCTTTGTTCTTCTGGTTTTATGATACAAAAGAAGCTTGGATAATTAAGTGTAATCTATTGGGAGACTTTGAATTTGGGCGCCTCCATTCAGTATTTTAGATTTTGGGTGATTTTAATTTAAACATCCCATATTTGACAAGCATTTAGAATCTGGAAATGTTCATTTTGATCACTAAAATACACCTTATTTAGTTATTTTTTATACATTTCTCCATGGAGAGACCTGTTAGTGGGGAAAGAATGAGAAATTTTCTTTAACAAGTCATTATTAAACACATCTTAAATGTCTGTTATGCTGTTTCTGAAGTGTACAGTGTTTCTTTTCTGGTTTATGTTGTTGAACTTAGCCTGCATTGCATAACTTTAAATAATCCAGAGAGGAACCGCGTTGTTAAAAGAGACAGATGAGAGCTTGTTAGCTTGGCATGAAATTGGGAATGCATAACTCCACAACTGAAACCGATAGTGAAGTTCAGTTCTCCATTCTTGCTTTATGTGTTTGGAAAATAGCCACAAAGAGACATAAAAAGAAGCCTTTAAATGGACAGAAATAGGTTTTTATCAACAGTTTTTATGGACAAAAATAAGATAGGTGAGTAAAATAGGCACAGAACGGGGGAAAAAAGCCTTTAAATGGACAGAAATAGGTTTTAAAACTTTTTATATGGACAAAAAGAAAATAAGGTAGCAAAATAGGCACAAAAAGACCCCAAAAAGCCTTTAAAATTGACAGAAATGGGTTCTTTAAACTGTCTTTGTGAATAAAAATAAGATAGGTGCGGAATATAGGCACAACAAGAAACAAAAAAGCCTTTAAATGGAAAGAAACAGGTTTTTTTAAACGTTTTTTATGGACATAAATAGGATAATGTAGGAAAATAGGCACAAAAAGACCCCAAAAGGCCTTTAAATGGACAGAAAAATGTTTTTTAAAACTGTTTTTATGGACTAAAATAAGATAGGTGATGAAAAGAGACACAAAAAGCCTTTAAATGGACAGAAAAAGATTTTAAAAGCTATTTTTATGGACAAAAATAAGATAGGTGATGAAACTGAGCACAAAAAGACACAAAAAAGCCTTAAAATGGACAGAAATATGTTTTTAAAACTCTTTTTATGGACAAAATAAGATAGTTGAGGCAAAGCTAAGCTAAGTATCTTCTATTCTTTAGTTTCTTTTGCACAGAGAGGAATTAACAAGCTCTTCCTATAACGAATTGTTCCCAAATACTGAGTTTTTCCTTTAATAGCAGCTAACGTGTGTATTTTTGTTTTCCTCCAGTTTCGGGAGAGGATTGAGGACATCCTCCCCAGCCTCCCGGCCCAACACGACCATTATCTGCTGCGCTGGCTCAGGGGTGAGAGCTTTTTAGCCCAAAAAATCAGTATTCAGGTCTAAAATATCACAGATTAAGTCCAAGGTGAATGAAACATGACAGGAGAAACTAAAGAGGCAGTAAAAAGAGTAAAAAAATGCATTAATTTGCAGTAAATGAGTCGAATTCTGGAGTAAAAAGAGTTAAAAAAAATACATTAATTTGTAATAAATGAGTCGAAATCTGGACCTTTCGCCCTTTTTAGTCCCAAAAATGAGTATTCAAGTCTAAAATATTACAGATTAAGTCCCAGGTGAATGAAACATGACAGGAGAAACCAAAGTG